ACTTTGACATGCTTGCACACACATGTGCTGCCAGTGTTCGAGGATATCCATACTCCTGTGGGTGTGCAGTCCCCTAGAGGGCTACAGTGTTGCCTCTATTTCTTGTGGTGCCCCCTCCTTCCCAGCACTTAGGACATGAGAAATGATGGAAACCTCCTTGCCAACCAGGGCCTCCTTATTCTGGACACTGGTACACCTTCCCTCCAAGGGGAGACCCTGGACACCCCAACCCTGACTGTGCCTTTGAACACCCTCAGACCAACACCTGGGTTGGGTCTTTTGCAGATCCAAGGTAGACAATGGTGACTAATGTTGAGTCAGCTAACAGGCCAGATTCTTTGGTAAAGGCCAGGCAGGGGAGGAGAGGCCAGGGAAGAAGCAGGGTGACCTCTCCTCACCAATATGTCTCCCCTTCTGACCTGCTCTTTCTATCTCAGGTCCCAGTCACCCGCCTGCTTCAGAATCATGTGTGACCAGCAGCAGATTCCGTGTTGCCTGCCGCTTCCCATGTGCTGTGTGAAGGGCTCTTACTACTACCCCTCCCCGTCCCCCTGTGGCAACAGCCAGGTGTTGGTCCAAGCCCCCTGTGAGATGCAAATTGTGGAGTGCCCTGCACCAGGTCCAGTTCAAGTTTCCCAGGCTCCATGCTCTTCTCAGACCACCCAGGTGAAGGGCCAGGCTTCCAGCCAGTCTAAGACAGTCCAGATGAAGGGCCAGGCTAAGGCCACGCTGGCGAAGGGCCAGGCTACCAGCCAGCCTCAAGCTTCCTATGTTCAGTGCCAGGCTGCAGGTCAGCCTGGAGCCCCAGGCGCCATTCAGACTTGCTATGTAGGAGGTGCTCCAGTTTGTTACACAGAAACTTGCTTTGTGGAATGTCCAGTGCAGACCTATGTACCAGCTCCCCAGTCTGTCCAGACTTACGTAGCATGCCCCGCAGCAGTGTGCCAGACTCAGGGAGGATTCTCCACCCAAGGCCAATATCAGGGCTCCTATGGCAGCAGTGCCTCCCAGTTCCAGTGCCGGAACTCCTACAGCAGCTGCGCCCCCAATTCCAGCCCACGGCTCCCTACAGAAGCTGCGTACCCCGGTTCCAGCCTGCGGCACCCTACAGCAGCTGTGGCCCCCAGTACCAGCCTGCAGCACCCTACAGCAGCTGTGGCCCCCAATACCAGTCCCGTGCTTCCTACAGCAACTGTGCCCCTCAGTACCAGTCCCGGGGTTCCTACGGCGGCAGCTGCGCCCCCCAGCGTCAATGCCGGGCTTCATTTGACAGCTATGCCCCCCGGTACCAGTGCCAGGGCTCTAATGGGAGCTTCACCGCGCAGCGTCGCTCTCGCAGCGCCAGCAGATGCCTCCCTCCCCGCCAGCTGCAGCCTTCCTACCGCAGCTGTTCCCCACCGCGGCGTTCTGAGCCCTACTACAGCAGCTGCCCTTCGGGCCCCACAGCTACTGCACCCCGCCCCCCCGCTCCGAGCCCATCTATGGCAGCGGCTGTCCTAGGGGTCCCACTGCAGGCGGCTCCCAGAGATGTGGACCCAAGTACAGAGTTGAGATTTCCTCCCCTGCTGCCCCAAGCAGGTTCCACCCCTGAGGTGCCGTCCTCAGATTCCTCCCATCGGCCGCTGCTCTGAGGGTTGCGCCCCACGACCTTCCTGGGGGGGCTCTTGCCCGGAGCTGAAGCCCTGTGGAGAGCCAGGTCCACGTTCGAGCTTCTGCCCACCCGGCGTGTGGACCGCTACCCGGAGCCCGCGCCGCTGCGGTGTCCGCTGCCGGCTCCACGGCCTTATCCGCGCCCAGAGCCGTGCTCGAGTCCAGAGCCCTACCCGTGTCCCCCACCACGGCGACTTTCCGAGCCCTGTCTGTGTCCAGAGCCGCGCCCGGCCCCGCGCCCGGCCCCGCGCCCGGCCCCGCGCCAGGCCCCGCGCCCCTGTCCAGTGGAGTGCGAGCCTCCAGAGCCACGTCCCCGTGAGCGCCCGGAATCTCGTCCACGTCCAGAGCCAATTCCCCTTCCAGCACCCTGCCCGAGCCCAGAGCCCTGTGGGGAACCGCGACGCTACCCCAGCCCATGCTCCAGCCCGAGTGCGATGCCGTGCTCGGGAGACCTAGGCTGCCGCGCGTCCAGTCCATGCCACTTGGACACCGAAGTCCCCAGCTGTGGCTCGGATGGTTATCACCGCTGGCAGGAGAGTGGTGCTAGCTGTGGCCCTTGTGATGTCTTTCCAGAGCCAGGGGTCTGGGCGGCTGTGGAGACCAAGGAGGCGCCAGTGTTGGAGTCAAAGGGGGGGATTATGCTGGCATGAAGGGTGCCTACTTTTAAAGGCAGCGTCTGAAACGTCTTTGCCTCTTGCCTTGAAAGTTTGCTCCTCTTTTCTCAGCAGCCTCCGTTTTCAATTTGTTCTTGTTTGCATGTCTCCAAAGACATTCAGAGGCTTCCTGCTGCAGAGGTGATACTGCTATGCAAACTCCTTTGCATGCCTTTCAGGAGCCACACCTGGGTCTCAGTCACCTTTGCAGTCACACCCGGACTCCTCCCCTGCTCACTGCTAGCCAGACCAGTCTGGCAACCAGGGCACATCCTGGGTGTTCCCTGGAGCATACTTGGTGTCTACCTCGGAGCCTCCGATTGCTCTTCCCCAGCCCCTCCTGCCTGGGCCACTTCTCTGTGACTCCCTTCATCTGAAGTCTGACCCCCAAGACCTCTTCCTTGCAGCCACAGGAACCTGTGCAGACTTCTTAGAACTTATTGCATCGTTCACACTCCATCCCTTTGGGGATTGCCTTGCAATATCGCTTGAATTGCTATTTCATTACCCAGGTGTGTCCATCCTGCTTGCTCAACTAGGTTGTAAACTCCCATTTGAATGGAGTCAGGACATCCCTGAAGTCCCATGCTTCTGCCGGGGTGGACAGCTGCTCGCAGGGCTGTGTGCTGGTGGCTGGAGCCACTATCTGTGCTGATGGGCAACCCCAGTGCTGAGAACACAAGGCCATTTAATAATAAAGATGATTATACCCGAGTGCACATAATGCCTGTTTTTCCTTTCTTCTTGACTCTCTGGGAAGGACTTCTACTTTTTTATCTATTGTTTTTCATCCTGGGTGTATTGTATTCATGTTCGGAGTCTTCATTTGACCAGAGCAGGTGGGCTGCCTTCTGGGGTTTTGTGTCCCCTCAGTGTTCCTAGCCCCTGTCAAAAAGGCATGAGGCATCCTCAATCTTGAAGCAAAGATCTCATGTCTGTTTGGCAGGTCGCCCAACTCTGGAGCCATAGTCACAGCTTTGTAACTTCTATGGAGTCTGGACTGGAGGAAAGGGAGCCCACAGAGAAGCAGAGGCTCCCTTCGATACTCTGAGTAGGATACACCCTTCCTTCCTTCATTTTTTTTTTTTATTTAATAGCAATTCTGCAATCCTGCATTCCTCAGTTGTTCCCAAGTCCCATAGGCACAGATGATCTTGGCTGCATGGAGGTGGGGTGCTGAGGGCAGAAGAGAGTAGTGACTTCCTCCCACATACTGCAGATGAGACAGGTGCTGTGGGGACACATGCTGAGGAATGAGTGTTCCTGGGAGAGACCTTCCCAGAGGGAGGAAGCCCAGAGTCCACAGGGATCTTTATAGGATGAAAGGGGCTCTTAGGAGCAGGGGGGCTCGGCCTGGTCAATAATGCCCTCTTCTTATCAGGCCAGAACCCACACAAAAACATTGTAGCACCACTGGTGGGAATCACAGACCAGGTCCAGGCTCTTGAGGATGACTTTCGCTCGCCCCCAGTCTTGTGAGACTCATAACACCCCCAGTTGCCCATTTTGTATAAGGAAAATTAAGATTTTTATGTGAAATCCATTCAGTCATTTTCTTTATGGACAAAATATTCATGCTGGCCTGCTAAGAAAGAAGGTGCTAGTAAAGGAAACACACATAACCCCAGTTGCTCTCAGAGAGCTTACAATAGCATGCTGGTTCTCACTGGGGTGACCAGACCTGTGTGTCAGCATCGCCTAGGTCCAGGTGAGAAATGCAGATGCATCACCCAGACTGACTGAAGCAAACTCTGGGAGTGAGACCCTGAAAGGTGCTAACCAGGTCTTCAGGTGCTTCAATGCCCTGTGATGTTCAGTCATTACTGGTTTGATGAAATGCCTTATGCAGGCAGAATGCGAATATGTGTGTGTGCCCGTGAATGTGTGGGCACACATTTGTGTGTGTGTGTCCCCTAATTTCCACAACAGCCCATCCATAGGCATATTTATCCGACTGTTTTGCACAGGTGGGAACTTAAGCTTGCAATATTGACGTGACTTGCTGGAACTGTCTGCCAGACTTGATTTGGAACCTACACACTTTTCTGTGATACATGGCCCCTTTCATCTGGCCACAGTGCCTGCCTCTTTCAAAGATCTTACCTATATCAATTCCATCACTTTTTCAACAAAATTAAGACTTATCTCATTATTAAACAAGTTTACTTTTACCAGTTCTACATTTGCTTCCTCTCCTAAACCCAGGCAACTCTTGGACTATATCCACGCTTGGGCACATTTTTCCAGGAGTCTCACAGGACCTGAATGGCTCAGGTGTGGATGGGGGTCATCCCTGGGATTTCAGCTTAGGTCCCTGATGAGGGTAGAAGAACAGAGACTGAGAGCACCAGGTGGGAATGCTCCTGCAAGGTCTCCCCTGTTCTCTCAAACACATTGTTAGACAAGGACCTCCTGGTCTGGAGGGTGAGTGGGGACAAGTTCATCCCTTCAACATACAAAAGAAACAAAGAGCCGGCTGTAAAAGAAGGGCATTTACTCCTAAAAACCTGGGCCCACCCCCAGGTGCAGGGCACACGTTACCACAAGGTTCTTTACAATGACCTAAAAGAGCTGCACTGTTCTCAGGAGCAGATCCAGTGCAGGATAACCAGGGCTGGACGTGGAAAGGGTTTGGATGGTCATATATTAGAGGGATCTCTGGGAGAGTCAAGCTGGGGCAGAGCGAGGGAATCCCCAATGGCAGGTACTCGCTCATCGACCAGTAGGAGCGGGTGCTCTCCATAGCCACAGGCGCTCGGCCCTCACAAGCCTCTCTTCTGGGCCTGAGCTTGCATTGGCCTCCAGGGCCTCCACTTCTTCTAACAGACCCAGCCTGCAGCCTTCAGGCAGGTTCCCTGTGGAAGTTTTCTCCATCTGGAACAGCTAGAGGGAAGGATGTGTGTGTGCATGTCTTTGGGGGCTCTGCGAGGTTCTCTGTGTGCCCGTGGGTCTGAGAACCATTCCCTGCCATCCTTCCAGACCCCAGCCTTACTTCCATGGTCCACCTGCCTCCCAGCTCTCTGCCTTTTCTTGCCCTGTCAACCATTCGAACAAACCTTGAAAGTGTCCCTGGGACCAGGGCTAAAGACCCAAATTTCAGAGCAAAAAGAATCTTTTATAAAGCCCTGTAAAGATGTTCAAAGCCCCCCAGAACCTCCCCTTGGACCATGTGACTCTGAGGCAGCAAGTTGTTTCCACCAGTTGGGGAAATAGTATCCGGAAATGCCAACACACTGGCTAAGTCACCCCGGGTGCTGATCATCCAGGCTGCCTCAGAACAGGGCCCCACATGTGGAGATGAGGCCCTTGTTAGTCCACGGGAATATAAGAGAGATGGGCTCTAAAGGGCTTGCATCCTGCTTTGAAATCCTGCAGTTATTCATTCTTTCCTTCTTTATGAACCTCTGGCCCTGGGGTCAGTGTCTTCACCACAGGATGAGGGAACTGCGCCAGAAGTTCTCAGAGGTGGCTTTCAAGCCTGGTGAGTTATCCACAGTTCCTCTGGTATGGACAATGGGACATGGTAGTCACAGAATCCAGGAGTCCATCTCAGACCTAATTAATTTGAATTTCCAAAAAGAAAATATGGGATCTCCACTTAAAAATTATTCTGATCAGCTAGAGGAAGAAGCCATTGCTATAATGAATAGTCAGGTGCATGTGTTAATATGTAGAAGGAGAGTTGAATCTGTCAATCTGGTCACAGCATAGTAGGATACAGACAAGGAGAACATGAACTGGGTTTTGTGGCAGGTGTTATGTAATTGCCCCATGGGTAGAATCAAATTTTCTATCCTCAGTCAAAAGTACCTCAAGACTAAGGAGTCTCTCCCTTTTTCTCTGTTAACCTGCAACTCCACTGCCACCAAAAAAATACTCAGAGTAAGCCTGCATGTGGTAGAATACAGGGAGGGTCTGGCATGTGTTACAGTTACTTTCTCAGGAAGAGGGTAGGCCCAGTTTGAATCTATCTCTTCTTACTGAAGCATTCCCCAAACAATAAGAGGCAGACATTCTACATCCCAAGTTTGTCTGACACATAGACTAGTCTCAGATGAACAAGCAAATAGAGCTGTCATGCACTAGCTGTTCATAATGGAATACGTGCGTAGATAGTCGTAATCTGAAGACAGGCAGTATGTATATGGATTCTTCACTGATGTATGGGAAAATAGCCAGATGGTGAACCAGACTTGGCTGTACCATACTCCTGATTTCTGGCATGGTTGGACACCCCAGAAGATCTACATACCTGTGACCTGAGGTTAGTTAGGATGAGAGGGTGATGCAAGACAACCCATGTGCCGCCCTCACATAAAGGCCACCCAACCCATTTCTCCAAAAAATGGAGCTTCTTGACCCAGAATATTTAACTAGAAATATCTAGAAGAGTAGAAATACCCCAGGCGGTTCCCTGTCTTCCCATCATGCTTCTCACATCTTGACATAGGAGCCCTGAGCTGGTAAACACCTTTCCTCGAGCATTCTCTCTGTGAAGGAGTAAGCCACTGCTGACTTGCATCAACACACATCCATTCATTCCACAGATATTTCCTGAGACTGGGCTATCTTCCAGGAACTGTACTTGGTCTGAGAGATACAATGTTGAACAAGGTGGATGCTTTCTTGCTCACATAGAGTCTGAGAGACAATCAATAGTGTCTGTGAGAGCGTCAACATGGGAGATGCAGGTACCATGGGAACTCATGGTAGAGACACTTGAGTGGGTCAGGTGCCTGGAGGAGGCAACAAAACCAGAGGTATGAGAGATAGGTGAAGTTAGCTAATAGAGAAAGAAGAGAATGTTCTATGTAGAGATAATAGCAGGTATACTGTCAGCTTAATGACATGACAGACAGCCCAGGAAGGAGTATTTCCTCACTCTTGGATCATCAGTCCTGTTTCCTAAGTTTGTATGAACCCAGGAATCCCTTCTTATTCTGTCCTGATGAACTTCTAATCAACATCTTAGAAGAGACTTGAGAAGGACCTACCCT